ACCCAGCTTCTTTTTTCTAATTTGAAACAATTTATATATTATTTGTACAAAGTGAAACATTACCTTGGTTTGTGTGTTAATTTGATGAATGTTCAAATGTGGATGTATATGAATTTGAGAAACCCAAATTATTATAGAATTTCAAAAGCTTCAAAGTAACTCAGTGATTATTTTGTCTGCTTCACTTCATAATTTAAAAAAACTTAGGGCAAGCGGTATTTAGTGACTTGCTAGAATGACAAAAACACTTTGTGATCCCGGGCAGATCTGGCAGATTTCCATGAAAGCAGTTAGCTCTCAGTACTCGCTGTAGTTGTTCATTTTCTCAGTCTTCCTTCCCTGCTGTCTACTTTCTTGGCCTTTTCATGCTGCTATAACAGAACACCTAAGACTGGATAATTTATGAAAAGCAAATTTACTTTTTACAGTGGGGAAGTTCAAGATCAAGGGGCTAGCATCTGGCTGGGGCCTTCTTGCAGCATCATTCTGTGGCAGAAGGGCAAAGATAGGAAAAGAGAGTGTGTAGGAGTGTGAGAGTATGTGGGAGAGGTTCAAACTTGTCCATTCAGCACTGTCACCTTGGGGATAAGTTTCTAACATGTGCCTTTTTTGGGGACACACCAAACCACAGCATATTTTTCTCTTTGAACCAATAGTCGGTTAACTGAGCATCCCCTATGTATCAGACTTTGGATATGGGGTCAGGGAGCCAGCAGTCACTGCCCTAAAGAAGCAAATGTTCATGTGGAGAAGACAAACTGAAACAGAGGTCTTAAACAGGTGGTAGTAAGTACTGTGAATGAAATTAAGGCAGGTAAAGGAGATCAAGAGTGATAAGGTGCTCTTTTGGATTGTTACAATGAGTGAACAGGGAAAGCCTCTTGGAAGAGGTGAATTTTGAGCAGAGATGTGAATGAAGTGAAGGATATAAGTCATGAATACCTGGGAAAAGAACATGGCAAAAGGAAGAGCACATGCAAAGCTGTGGTATGGGAATATGCTTGACCTATTTCAGGAACTGGTAGGAAGCCAAGGTAGCTAGAAAGCAGCAAGTGATGAAAAGAATGATATGAAATAACATAGGAGAAGTAGTCAAGGGCCATGTTAAAGGGCCCTCTGGGGCTTTGTAGAACTTTGGATTTATATTGGAAGTGATGGGAAGCCTTTGGAAGGTTGAAAAGAGAGGACACATGAACTAGGTTTATATTTTAGGAGGATTATTCTGGCTGCTATATGGAGAACAGACTGTGGAGGCAAGAGCAGAAAGGAGATCATATAGGAGCTATTGCAGAAGTCCACACTGGAGATGGCAGTGGTTCAGACTAGGGTGGTAGTGATGGACAGAGAAGTGGCCAGATCACAGGTTTATATCTTCTTAGGAGCAGGGAGAAAGGTGATTCAGCCTTGACACTATAGCTAATCACAGGACCTGATACTAATAGGCATCCAATTAATAGTGTTGAATGGATGAAGCAAATGCAGATTTCTCATACCTTTCCCATACTATGCTCCCATTGAGAGATTTTGCAAGAGGTCTTCACAATGTTGCGGTCTTAACATGGACTGCTCTGTAATACTTAACTTGGGCTGGCCTGCTTCTGTTGTTTATGGATGTAGAACAAATCAGTTAATATTTAGCAAACAAGACCAAGATTATCCCAGAGGAAATCATGGCTTAAATAATCAAATAGGAATTAAACACCTACTTTGTAAGCCCAAGTTTATAAAATATTAAGCCCTTATATTTAAGTGGCATTTTTATTTTAGTGCATATGTTCACATACTCTATGAGGAAGTTATTAATGCTTTTCCAATTTTATACTCTGAGACTCAAAAGTTAAATAATCTTGTTTATTATCACACATCCAGCAGATAATATATCCCCAAACCCAGATATTATATCTTCAGATCCTTAACTATTTTTCTACTATGCTTATTCTTCTGTTTTCCACTTGTCTATTGAATATATCATATACTGTGATAGATAATGGGGAAGCTGACATAAGCAAGACCCCGGTGGTGACCCCATAGGAAAACTCAGAAAAGAATATCAAAGATTTTAATAAAGTATGATAAATGCCATAGTAAAATTAAGCATAGAATATATTTTGTTTTTTTATATACCACTATTAAAATACATAAGTAAAGCATAGGTTGAGTATCCCTCATCTGGTGGGCCCAGAAGTGTTTTAGATTTTGGATTTTTTCAGATTTTTGGAATATATTGCTTATATGTAATGAGATATCTTGCGGTTGGGGGGCTTACTAAACAAGGAATTCATTTGTTTCATATATGCCTTATAGACATAGCCCGAAGGTAATTTTACACAGTATTATTAGTGCGTCTGCATTTTTGACTGCGTCCTGTCACATAAGGTCAGGTATAGAGTTTTCTACTTGAGGTGTCATGTTGATGCTCAAAATGTTTTAAATTTTGGAACATTCCAGATTTCACATTTTTTGGATTAGGGATCCTTGAACTGTAAATACTTCTTTCAGTATTCTTGCAACTGAGTATGCATTTCACATCTCCTTTTGGAAAACAGACTTGAATTAAAATGGTGTGGCCATCTAATACATACATTTTTTTTTGTTTACTGTTGGTAGACATTAAAATCCATACAATGTCTTCTGAAATTCATAAAATGTCTACACAGTTTTTGAGTTCCAGCTTCTTTAGGTGTTCTTTCCTTAGTCCAAAATGCTTAGGTTTCTTTTAGAATAAGTCAGGTCCTAGTTATGCCTTTTCAACAGGACTAGACTTGATAGTATCATATGGGTAAAATAATATATATGGAGAGATAAGATTTGGTCCTAAGAAATGCCCAAACTTTAAAATTACCCAGTTTAGTTAGACCCTTGCATTAGGATATAGGTTATGATAAAGTCAGAAATGATTACAACACCTCTTTGAGAGGAAGAAAGAGTGGAACTACCAGAGACTTCAGAATTAAAAGATAAATTATTCTTTCTTTTGTGGTCTGCTCTTGCTTAAATAACTTATTTCTTCTTTTTGAAATATGTGTTTGAACAAGTGAGAAAGTGCACCTGTCAAAAGATTAACCAGCTGAGAACCATTGTCAGCATTAATTTTCCTTTAATAAATGACTCTCTGAAGCTATTTAGCAGTCTGTAATCTAGATACAAAGCTGTTGACCTATGATGGATAGTGCTGGATTTGTTTGTAAGCTTTGACTTAAATTGTCTACTTAATTTCTCTAGGTCAGATCAACAGAATTAGGAGAAAGAGTGGTTATGTGGTTTGAATAAAAATAGCTAAAGAAATTGAGCAAAATAATTGTAAAACATTAATGGTTTCACCATCTTGGTGAAGTAAGTTAGAAACAAGCAAAATGACAGCCACTTAAACATCAGTATTATCAAATATTCAAATGACATAGGTCAGATAATTGAAAGTATTTTTTTATAATTGGATTTTTGTACATAATCGATTCCAAAGTGTGTTGGAAGATATTGTGAAATAATGTAATTTCAACCGTATGTGCAAGTGTTTCCGGCTTTTATAATGTGGGCACTCTTTCCTCCAAGGTTGTTGACTAACAATGCTACCTTCTTTTGCCTTTAATAATTGGTTAAAAATAGTGTGAACTACAAAAGAGAAAGCTACTGAAGTTGGCAATAGCAAAATATTACATTTGAATGAAATAAGAAACTCTTGGCTTTTTTTAATGTCAAAGCTTTATTTTATTGAATAAATTAAATCAGAAAGGAGGCCTTTACTTATAGCTATCTATTTAATGGCAAGGTTCAATACTTAATACAGCTACAGTTCCTTTATTCCTAGCTGCATGTAAAATAAGTTATAAAAGCAAAAATTATAATAGGATAGTTTTTCCATTTACCTCCCTTTTTTCCCCACTTCAGTACTAGAGATTGAACCCAGGGGCATTCTACCACTGAGCTACATCCTTAGCCCTTTTTAAAATTTTATTCTGAGATAGAATCTTGTTAAGTTCCTGAGGCTGGCTTTAAACTTGCGGTCCTCCTGCTTCAGCCTCCTCAGTTGCTGGGATTATAGGTGTGTGGCACTGTGCCTCTTATACATTCCTATTTTTGAACAAAACCTCACTTGAAAATTATGAATTAAGATTTCTCTCAATAATAAAGCAGTAATAATACTCTTGCTTTTATTTTAATGGTAATAAAATGAGCGAGGCTCTCTGTGCCCTTTTTAGACAAGCCTAGGCCAAGTTTTATATGTCAAATTAGAAGTTGTTTTTCCAGTCATTTTAATCAGTGAAGTCTTTTTTTAAAGCAATTAAGAAGTAGCCAAAGAAAATTAAATTTTATTTCTACTTTCTGCTCATATCACTAGGAATGAATTACCTAAAAGATATATCAGGAACGGCGGTCGCCGTGCCACACACCTGTAATTCCAGTGGCTCTGGAGGCTGAGATGGGAGGATTTTTTTGAGTTCAAAGCCAGCCTCAGCAACGTAGTAAGACCCTAAGCAACTCAGCAAGATCTGGAAAGTACACACAGGAATAATCAGTCTTAGTAAACAAATTTTCTTTCTCTTAACAAAAAGAATCTTACCACCTGAAATGCCTTCTTGTTTATGGGCGAGAGAGCAAGTTCTCTCTTTTTAGATCTCTTTGCAAATCCTTCTGGCTGCTGCTGTGCTGGTCAGAGCCCAGGCAAACCTGTCATGGAATAGGTTTCTAAGGAGAATAATAGATGAATTAGAATAAAATTCGCATTTCAAAATCCTTTGTGTATCGTGCCAAAATGTTTAAGATGAATTGAGAATGAGTAAGATTAAATCTATGTGTCTCTTTTTGTTTGTGGTTAACCTCATGGCACTTGATTACTGAAATATTCTTGTGGAGGTGTAGAGCATCTTAGACATATGTGGTGTATATACAATTTGGAGGCCAGATGTTTTCATTTGGTTTTGGGATTTTCTCTCCTTTTACTATTTGAACATTTAAAGAAATGTATCCTTTTGCTTCTGTCTCTTTACACCCAAATGATTCAGGTGTGGGAGCTGCTCGGTCTGGGAACCTAACGTTTATGGTAGGAGGAGTCGAAGAGGAATTTGCTGCTGCCCAAGAGTTGCTGGGGTGCATGGGCTCCAATGTGGTGTATTGTGGAGCTGTTGGGACCGGGCAGGTAAAATTGTCACATTAATGACCTTGATATAATGATGCAAAATTGGCTGATGGTGTTTTCTATTTCCTGACCACATTCTTTTTTCTCTTTATTCTGCTCATTCTTGGTAGGCTTAAGCAGATGCCAGCCAATTTACTTATTAAAATAAAACTTTTAAAAAATATCAAAATTTCCATCATTATGATCTTAGCATGTCACCCCTGAAATCATCCTTAAAACTATTTCTGTTTAGGTGCTCGTGTTGTCTGAGTAACTGTTGCCCTCCATCTGATTTTGTAATTACTTGCTATAGCTCCATTTATACTACAGTCAAGTAGAAGTAACCTATGTCTTTTAATATTTTTCTTGAAAAGCAAATAATTTTCATCTAGAAATATGAGGTGATTGACAATACTGAACTATGAAGTCAAATAAGTTGTACCCTTCCCACTCCTAACATACACACACTCCTTCAATTCTTCCTTCCTTCCCTCTTCCAAACAGTGCTTTTTTTAAAAAAAAAATTTTTAGAGAGAGAGAGAGAGAGAATTTTAATATTTATTTTTTAGTTTTCGGCAGACACAACATCTTTGTTTGTATGTGGTGCTGAGGATTGAACCCGGGCTGCACCCACACCAGGCGAGCGTGCTACCACTTGAGCCACATCCCCAGCCCCCAAACAGTGCTTTAATCTTAGTTACCAGTACTCTCTTTCTCTCACGCAAGACTTCTGTATTCTCCTAGGTACATTTATTGTTTCCATACCTTATATGTCATTCTTTAAGCTCTGTGGAGTTTTGCTTCTGTGACTGATTGCTGACCATCTTGTCCATGCCACATATGACCTGGTCCAATCTTTCTTTCATTATCTCATACCTAGTTTACTGCTCAGAGGGCCTAATAGGTCTCTAGATGCCAAATGTATCACTCTGTGCAACACAATAACCAAAACCAAGACTAACAAGGTGCTTGTCATGATATGTACTTCTTTTTTTCTGAAACTTTGAATAGATTCCTGTTTCCTAACATCAAATCTTAGCTCTCTGTTTTAGCCTTCATAGCTCGTAACAAGCTCTTGACAATTTCAACAATCAAATTTCTCACCATTTCCTAAACTCTATACATATGAGTAATTTTCTTACTAATTCCAGAAACATCTAATGCTCCTAAAATTTAATCCCCTTTATTTATATATTTATCTTTTACTCTAATCTCCTCCTTTCTTTTCCTTGCCTATTTATATCCTCCTTTGGCTTCCTGAGAGACGATTTCCACCTCTTGTCTTTGGTGATCTTGTTTCTCTGAAGTTATGCTCTCTCTGCCTCATAACCTCTGCCATATATTGTGTCATTTTATTGTTCTATTTGTTCATTTTTTGCCTTCCATGTAGCATATTATTCCCATTCCCAGTGAGTTCTAAGTTCCATCCCTTAAAGAGCAGTCATACCACATGGAGGGATATTCCCTGTAGTGCTGAGCCCATAGTAGGTGCTGGGTCACCACTGTGAGTTTATGACCTAGTGGAAGAGATCCCCATGTCTGCTGTGGGGTAGCCATTGGGCTTTGGAAGCATTCTGCATGAGAATCAACAGTTGAAAGCTGCTTCCTTTAGAAAGAAATCTGTGGAATTGGACAAAGAAAAATTTCCTGTGTGTTTTAACATGAAAATAGAGATATTTCGCATGTATTCTTTTTCAGGCTGCAAAGATCTGCAACAACATGCTGTTAGCTATTAGTATGATTGGAACCGCTGAAGCTATGAATCTTGGAATCAGGTTTGTCTAGTAGTACATTTTCATATACTAACAGTTTTTATTGGTTTTCCTATTTGATTTTTGGTATTAAAAAAAAACTGATGTTTGTGAGAGATAAATGAGTTGATCCAGGGACATTTTGAAAGCACTTCATTATTGAACTTTAATAGACTTTGCTTATTGGACAAGCAATAGGACCCTGGAGAGCATGAATACTCTTTGCCATAGCCATAAAATGTATTGCACTGTGCATTTTAAGTTATATTATCCTTTTTTATATGGAAGTCCCATTTCTTCTATTATGTTAAATGCAAGGAACACTTTTACTATAAAAATTAAACATTCTTTGGCAGTGTCAGGAAAAATTTGTATGAAACACAGCTTTAATGTATGTGAATTCAAGTTTACGCTACTGTGTGACTAGTTTTATGTACCTATTCTAAATATAGTCCCCAAAATCTGCACTAAAAGTGTTCTTGGTAGTTTGGTTGCATTCATAAAGCTACAATTCATATGCATAACTTTCATTTTAACTTGCCTGTAGTTTGGTTAGTTGGCATTAGGATCTGTCTTTAAAATAAATGTCATTCATACTTTGTTTAAAGTGATTCAGGAATTCTGTTTTTACTACAGATGCTCATCTTTTAGAATACTTAAGGTTAATGTCTTAATTTTAGCCTTTAATCTTTTGGTTTAGGAATGCTACAAATGATTAATCACCTAATTAATTTTTGAATATTTTACATTTTGTGAATATAATAAATATACATTTCTTACTTTAGAAAATGCTTAGTAAGCAAGATGTTTTATTCAGATGCTTTCTTCCTCACATTCACCAAGCTGCTAACCAAATATATCACAAAGCAAAGTAGTGGTTCATATCACAGCTTTTGATACAAGCAATAAAATGAGCCAAAGTGCTTGAGATATTTTTAAAAACATGGTAATGGATTCACATTTCCTCTTAATTACCATATCAAGATACTGTTGTTTTATTGAATTGCCCTTGTCTCAGATGTTAAACTATCTTGACCTATTAAGTTGTCATGTTGTAATTGAGATAAAAGAGGAATTTGCTTTGCATCAGTGCTAATTGGTTTATCAATATCCTGTACCATTTACATTTTAAAATTGAATGTCTATAAGATGGTAAGGCATATCTTTATAAAGCCTTAATAAAACTAGTAGTATATAGGGAGCCCTTCAGAGTGTTGTGTCTGTATTGTGGCCAGTTGTAGGCTGTGGGTCACTTATGATATTTAAAAACTGGTTTCTAGTAACTTGGTTTCATGTCCATTCTTTAGACTAATTTCTTAGAAGAGGAAAATATAAATTTCTGGAACCAAAAAATTGCATACAAAATTAAATTGTTGTTGACAGCAGGATTACTATGCATATGCATCTTTGTTTTCTTAATTTTTAACTTTTTTTTTAGTTGTTGTTGAACATAATACCTTTATTTTATTTATTTATTTTTATGTGGTGCTGAGGATCTAACCCAGCTCCTCGCACATGCTAAGCAAGCGCTCTACTGCTGAGCCACAACCCAGCCCCTGCATATGCATCTTTATAATTTTATTCCCATTTTTCTAGATATAAGTGAATGTATCATAAAAAGTTAAAGCCTAGATGGACCTATGTTATACCATAATATGACATATGCCCTTGTCTCTGCCATTTAGTCTTTATTTAGTACCTGCAGCATCACTGGGTTAGGGTGTTCCTTAGGCACAGTGGGGCATCTTCTGGAATTCCTTGAATAATTTTCCTGTTAGAACTTTGATTAGATGCCCTTCTTAAATGAAGTTTTGTATAGGAAAGTGCTTGTGGATGTTTTCCTCCAAGTATCAGCTAAGAAAGAAGAGTAGAAAATCAATTAAATAAAATGTATATAATGAAATGAAAAACTTTGGTTACTAATAGTGTGTGTTTTCAAGGAAAAAAAAGAAAAGTAATATAATTCCAAATACAGACATTTAAGAGCAGAAGTAATGAATAGAGTTTAGTGTTTCCCTGACTTTTGGCCTTGATACACTATCACAAATAGTATTTAGAAATATGAAACTTTAAAATATGTAATTTTTCCAAAATTCTACATATGTTCCAATACATACAGACACATAAAATATATACTAAAAGTCTGAACACAAGACAAAAACTTACTCATTTTATTTAACTGTTAAAATAATTTATGTTTCTAGTGTTACAACTAATAAATTACTTATTTTTATAACATTAGGATTTTATCACTTTATCTTACAAAATTGTCGGTGGTTTGATTGCCCTAAAAGTGAGTGCTTCTGCTATTGTCTTTTCTCCACGGTTTACAGACATGGTTTAAAATGACAGGATTGTTCTCTAATAGAGTATAGAGAGTGGCCACGATTTATTGAGCTTTGCAAGGTGAAAGAGAAAATTGGCATCAGCAAGCATAAATTCCCAAGTAGTAAAGTCCCACGAAGTAGTAGAGCATCAAAGTGGTTCAGCCACATTTATATTCTGTTCACTTTGAAGTGAATTCTTTTAGAGTATTTAATGTCAGTATTTATAAATTGAGTTACCTATTCCTGAGAAGTGATCATTTCTGATTAATTTCATTCTTGTAAGTCAGTGTTTTTTTCTGGGACTTTGTTTTTTTAATAGAAGAATAAAATCTTACCATTTAAAATTCTTATTGACCCTACATTCTTTTAGAGTGAGCCTTTATGGATGTTAGTGAAATTTTAAAATGTTGTAAAAAAAAAAGTAAAGAGTGAAAAATATTGGTATATAATATATTTTGAAATTCTTTTTTATTAGACCTTTCCACTTTCTAATTGGGTTCCTAGTTAGGCCTTAGAAGTAGTTTTATGGCCTGAGAGTCCCCTGCTTGCATTACAAAGGTTTGTTCTTATGCATCACCTAGAAACAACATTTTAATGTGAGTTTTTTTGTTTTGTTTTTATTTTTGCCCCATTGAGAATGGATTTCTTCTTAAATATTAGTAGTGTAATAAGTTCTTTGCATTTCCAGTAAGGTCCCAAGCCCCTCCAACAATCACCATCTTGTCTTCTTCGACCCAGGGAAGCTTGAAGTAGTAGACATTTTGAACAGTTGAAAGCTGTTCAAGATGTGAACTTTTCCACAAGCATAATTTTTCAGGAGCTGTATATCTCCTGAACAGCAAAAAGGCACCCTTAATGGTTGTCTTTTCTTTTATGTGATGACTAAAGCCTCTTTGCCATTTTTTCTATTTGTTATACAAACAGTTGTAATAAAAATTCGAACAGATTTCTAAATAATCTGATAAAATGCCATCGTATTGGCCAGTTCACGAACCATATGATACTCAGTGAGCCTCAAGCTGGTTAGAGGGTATCTGTCTAGTTCTGCATTTCAGTTGTGCTACAGACTTCAATTTTCTCATTTATATGGGAATAGTATGTATTTACTGTGTTGTACTGAAGATTAAGTGAGTTAATTCATATAAATCTTTTAAAACAGTTATTGGCACAGTTGGTACTCAGTGCATGGTAGTCATTGCTATGTGTGGTTGTTGTGAGGGGGTATTTGAAGTGAATGTTGTTTTTTTTCTTCCTAACACTTCTCACTACCTGGCACTATACATTTGTTTGTTTGTTTATTGCCTGTCTTTCCATCTAGAAAGTAAGCTCCATGAAAGAGAATGACTATTTACTCATGGCTGTATCTTAAGAACATTCCTGGCAGATAGCAGGCACTCAGTGAAGACTGAACTAAATGAATGAGGACAGGAGGGAGGGGTGAGTGAGGGGACAGGATATGGCACTTCTGCCTCAGTCTCAGTTATCTGGGCATGTGTCTTAACTCACACCCTCCTGACTTGCAGGCACTGCTTCTCCTTAACTTCTTTATTGTCTCCTCTGCTCTATGCTTGTCTCCCACATGGACAATCTGAGTAAACCTTGGTGAATAAATGAACGACTGATTAAGATTGACATGGTTTTAGATGTTTTGTTTCCAGATCAGTTCCTGTGATACAGACTTCCCAGTTTGGTGACAAATTGTTGTTGTTGTTGTTCTTATTAAACTGAGTAGTAAAAACACTTCAGAGAATAAAACTTTTTTGATCCTTAAAACTGTGATTACAGTGAAGGCAAAAGGTTTGGATTCTCTTTAATTTTTGTTTTTAGAATTTATGAATCATTTTTATTTCTCTCAAAAGTTCATTTAACATTCTTGTGTTTTAGAGGTGAGTAGATTTGACACTGTGATGTTTGAATTGCATTATATATGCAATCAGAGCAATGAATTCATTCTCTGTTTATATCAGAGAACATTCCAGCAACTGTAAAGGCACATGCATGCACACACGTACTCTCGAACCATATCCAGTGGCAAGTTATTATGGGGACTGACAGACTGTCATCCTTTTGATGGCTTGAGCTGTATATCTCCTGAACAGCAATGGGGCTCTTATGCAGAAAGTATCATATGTTCCCAGCCAATTTACAGGGAAACAGCAATAACATTTTATCATGGTTGAGAGCCCAGTAGCTGCTTCCTATTAAACTTGCCCTTTCAGATACCTGTCTTGGATTAATTTGTTGATTTCAAATGGAAACTCAGTCTTCTCCAGTGAAGCATGACGTTCTAGGATAGACTCTCTGAATGACAATTACTGTGTATTCTAGCTGGTTTCAGACCATTACAAGCCTTGGGCACAGTGGAAGACAGAGGACTTCAGTAACTGATTTTAATATCATGTCTAATTCTAACTGTCAGTTATGTATGTGCCAGGGAAAGAATCCTCAGAAAGATGAAATGCAAAACACTTCTCACTTGCTCTTTTTAATGATACACTTTGCTGCAGAGTGGGGGGCAGGGGAGTAAACGCCAGGAGGGAGTAGCCATTTCCTGAAGGGAATCTGCACAGCAGGGGAAGCTTCAGATTTGAAAAGTGAGCTTGGAACAACTGCCACCTGATTTTTTTTTTTTTAATGTGTGTGCCCCTCAGGATGCTCCTAAATAGTACTGTGTTCACCAAAATGGGTTTCCACAAATCAGTGCCAGTATTTTTCCTTGAATGTTCAAAAAAAATGAAGGATTTCACAAAGTTAGGATAATAAGCTTTACTCACCATTTTGGTGGGTTATAGAGTGTAAGTTTCCTTAGCAGTAAAGATTCTTAGGAAATACTGCCAAGTATAATCTGGTAGATTATAAAGAAGGATGTAACTCTACTGCTTTAGATGATGAATCATCTTAAAGAAAAATCTAAGATAGGAAGCCCCTAAAATATATTTCAATGGGTAGGAAAAGCAGTGTTTTGGGGTCTTTAAAAACATTCTGTGTTTATGGAACACATCAGATGTATATGTTCTTGGACATTTATGCTTAGAGACTAGATTTTCAGTTACAGCAAATTAACTGGTTGTTAATAATTGTGATTTTTCTTTTCACAGTTATTTCCTAAGCACATTGGCTTTATCTTTTCCTAAGTCATGTGCACAACATCATACTGATAGTCTAATTTTATTTAAAAGGGGAAAGAAAATTACACAGCAAATTACACATGAAACAAACTTTGTTCTTTATAAAAGAATTAATGAAACTGTTGGGTTTCTCTTTGGTAGTCTACCATTGAACAATGTATGATAGCTGATTTAGATGGAATCTTCTGTGTCTATACTCTTTAGTAAAAACCCATCATTTTAACAGGGGCCACCATATGAATTCAGATATGTAGCATGCCACATAGCCTTCCATGAACCACTGCTACCCCTTAAAAGCCAGATTATATATTCCATACATATCCTGTTGGCGGTAGCCCTTGCTCTAGCATCAGAAAAATGTTTTACTGTTCATGATATTCAGATTTTGAAATGAGCAAAACATATTTCAAACACAGAATAAGCAAGAACTTAAGCATGCCAGAATGCACAGTTTGTTTAACCTTAAGTGTCTTTTTTCAATTCTTTATTTTCTAAAAGAGATTGATTTTAACAAAACACAGAAAGCTTTTATGAAAATTGTTTTATAATGGCCCTTTGCATGAAAGAAACCAATAAATTGCTGGGTATAAAGTTTTATTTGAAACTTTATTCAGTGATACTTGACAAAACTATGCTTCTCAAACTGTTAAGATCTCTAAAATCAAAGTAATACAACATTTTGATATTTTTCTAGGGTCTATATTGAACAGCCACTATGCCATCAGCCCAGTGGTAGAACAAATGATGTTTCCGCTTGGGCAAGCTTTGTTTTATCAGGATCAGTAACCTTATCAGCAGTTGACCCAGAACTATAATGCATGTCTCTGAATAGATAGCATATGTCACAGCTCTGGGCAGACTTGCTTCGTAAGCAACATTATCTAATGAAGATTTAATAAATAAAGAAAAGTTTGCAGCAAGAAATGTCTTCCTTATAAAGATAACTTCTCTTAAGCTCATTGTACTACTCAAAGCTGACCTCTTGCATTTATTCTCACAAAAGTAATAAACACATGTATGAATGCATCCACAAGGACTCCCATGATGTATCATTTATCTGTTAGTATTTCTGAAATATATCATTTGTGTGTAAAGAATGTAGCATTTAGATTTTCATATTGGTTTAAAGTTCATAAGTAACACATAAAAGCAGTAATGTTCAAAAAACTAGAAAACCCCTAGTGTGACAAACCAACCACATTTTCATGCAATTATGTATTATTATTTCTTGTCAATTGTACAGTAGTGCAGGTTTTCTCTAAATATGAAATGTCTTGGCTCAGAAATGATCATGTTTAATCAATCAGTAGCTTTTAATATCCTATAATTCAAGATTAAATTCTTCACTCTCAGATCAATCTGCTTTGATTTTAAAAGACATGTAATAAATGGAGAGAGAAGATGGAGCATCCTCATGTGTAAATAAGTCATGAATGACTTGTACATTTTGACATTTAACACTTTTTTCTTTGACCTTTGACAGGTTAGGGCTTGACCCAAAACTATTGGCTAAAATCCTAAATATGAGTTCAGGACGGTGTTGGTCAAGCGACACTTATAATCCTGTTCCTGGAGTGATGGATGGAGTTCCCTCTGCTAATAACTATCAGGGTGGATTTGGAACAACACTCATGGCTAAGGTATGGTAAATGCTGAGGCTAACCCATGGGGTGGCAGGGAGTGCGGGGGGATGCTTAGTGGTCTGATTTCTCTTCCTCCTTCTAACAAAATATGTCTATGCTAGAATGTAAAATTAGTAGAATAGTGGTTCACTTTCCCACCAGAAATTAGTAAAAATTTATATTAAAAAATCCTTATCTTGTTCATTTTATTCCTGGGCTTTCAGAAGAATAAGCAAGGATTTTTCTTTTGTCCTTGGGTTTGTTTGTAACATGAGCTGGTACAGTTTTGTTCTTCATCATACATTTATGCTAATTTACCAACTCCTTAGAGTGGGAGCAGTGACTTTCTTGATAGTTAACCCTGTACGTACACAGTGCCAGGGAATCTTTCCCATGGTTTCTAAATACATCTTCCTGTTTAAGAATATATATAGATTTATGTGTAAATTAGTTAAGTCATTTGCAAAGCAAGTTTTGGGCTTCCTTTCATTTGTGATCTTAACTGTAGAAAATACTCTTTAGACCAGCAGACTTTCAGATTTCTGTATAAAGCTTATTCTTCGCCAATTGATTTTTTTTTTCTGATTACAAAAATAATAACAGGCACGCCTGGATGCCACACTTGGCTTACTCTCCCTCATGCCTCGTGGCATTTGTCCATTGAACTTCTTGAATATACCTTGAATTCATCCACTTCCCTTTTCTTTTTCCACCAGTATCTTGGCTGCAGTTCATTTAGCTATACCACAGGTGTCCTTAGCTGGTCTCCTTGCTTTTTGACCTCATCTTCTCCAATTCATTTTTTATACTATAGCAAAAATGGACTTTCTCAAATGTATAGACCTGATTGTGTCACTTCTCCCATAAATTTCCTTTAAGAGTTTCTGTAACTTACAGATTAAAGTCCATCTCCACAATTTTCGTATAAGCCCCTTGGTGATTTGGACTGCATGCCTCACCAGACTCATTTTTGCTTTCTCATTCCCTCTCTTTGCTTCAGCCACGCTGAACTCATTTCCACCTGGGTTTTCACTCTGAAACCTTCCTGTTTGCTGTTCCCGCTGCCAAGATCATTCTTCCTTGCCCCTTCCCCCTTTTACCTGGCTTACACCAATCCTCCTTCAGATCTTTGCTTAGCCATTTCTTCCTCTGGAAGACTTGATCCAGCACCCACACACTATGCCTCCCAGGCTCCCATGGTGGGTACTTCTCCAAATCATATAAATGCTTATTTAATTATTGTTATTCCTCAGTAGACTGAGTTTGGGTGGGCTGTGGCTATCTTGTTCATCATTGAATCCCAGCTTCTTGTACATTGTCAGTACACTTTCAATATTTATTTGAGGAAGTAATATTTGAAACTCTGTTTCCTATTTTGCAGTTTATTTCCGTTTGTGTTAGAATTTTTGTATGGCAATCTTACAGACTTCTACAGATTTGAAAATCATTTCTTTGTGCCACAGTCTGGCTGGGCACACAATCACGAGCCACCACACAGCTTGTAGATTCAAACAGCAACTCTTTATTCCCGAACTCACACCAGCCATCTACAATCACGTTCTGGGGAAATCCACGTTCTCTGCCCAAATCCACGTTCTCTGCCCAAATTCAAATCCACCTCCACTGGGCTTCTATCTCCCAAAAAATACTGTCTAAATCCCGTGAGAACTCAAGGGGAACTCAGGCAGCAGGATACGCCCTATTCCCAGCAGGAATAATCTTAAACCTTAAACCTGGAACCTAAACCGGGAACGCCCTAATCCGCCTTGGTCCTTGAGCAAGGTCACCTACATTCAATGTCACTGCAACATGGGGTACGCTGGCAAGGAAATTGTCATACCTACTTGGCTAATGGCTCCCAGCATCTTTGTGTAATCCTATTTGCATAGTAACTCTTATCCAGAAATAAACAGGTCTTATAGAGGATGGGGTAATGAAGGAGACACTCAGAAATCAAGGTTTCTGTTTGGAACAGCTTTGCAGCTATATGCCAGTACTTATAAAAATATATAAGGACTAGGGGTATTGTGGTAGAGTGCTTGCCTGGTATATGCAAAGCCCTGGGCTCAATTCCCAGCTTACCAAATTGTGGGGGGGGAGGGTGGAAGAAAAGAAAAAATATATATACATATATATTATATGTATGTATTTATATTATGTATTACATATTATATGTATATGTGTAGATATATATAGATATACATACATACATACATATATATATATGGATATATAGAGAGGAAACAATGTTTGTAAGAAACATTTTTTCAGAATCTGTTTTTCCTTCTCTGAAACCAAAGCATTAGGAACCACAGTTCAAAGTGCGCCTTTACCACCAGTCCTAATGTATTCTGTATTCCCTCCTGCCCTTGTTTGATTTAGGATCTGGGATTGGCACAAGACTCTGCTACCAGCACAAAGAGCCCAATCCTTCTGGGCAGTCTAGCCCATCAGATCTACAGAATGATGTGTGCAAAGGGCTATTCCAAAAAAGACTTCTCATCTGTGTTCCAGTTTCTACGGGAGGAGGAGAACTTCTGAACATGCCCTTTGGCCATGGACATTGTTGGGAACCAGACTATCTTGGAGCCACCTCCTAGCTCACTCCACAAGTAAATGGGTTTAATCAAAGGTCATCAGTCTCTTTTGATTATCTGTGTTAAGTACTCCCTAGGATTTTCCACCCATTTTTAACTGCTTATTCTTTTTGTCTATTTAGCAAACATATTATTGGGGGGAAAACATTTTTTTTTTTTTCTGCTGGCCACTGATGGTTTCCGCTAACTAGCTGAATTAACCTTTTTAAAAAAGTTTGATCTTTGAGTATCTTCTACTAAATCGTTGAATACTTTGAACAGGAAATTTACTTAGCAAATAAAATAAAATATTGCCAAATGTTTTGTTAATAGGATGAAACCCATCTTAAGGGAAAGAAAAGAAATCGCTGTGAGGAAAGGAGTTAGAGAAAGGAAGTATAGTGAATTACTACCTGTGTTCCTCAGGAAGTTTGTCCTGTTAACCACGAGCTGGTATCTTGCATTCCTGAGGTTACAGATTTATTTTCCAGGGAGTTGATAAAGCCAGAGGACTTGTTGCTGCTTGTTTTATAATTCGGACTCTGTTACAATGTCTCAGTGTTCCCCTCTTGTCACAACTCCTAGTACTCAGCAGATTTATTTCTATATTTTTTTGCTTCTGTATACATTCTTATTACATATTTTTTGACTTCAAAGAATGATATCTTTAGACTGTTTCAGAGCCAATGATGATATTTGCTTTAGAAATCATTACATTATTCTAAAAATAACCATATTATTTTGAATTTAAATAAATTTATATGCTGATAATATCTTCTTGGAGTTTTTGTTTCTTCTTTAAAAAAAAAAAAAAGGCTGGCTTTACAGACTAATGGGGAAAGGAAGGTAAGAATGAGGAAGGAAGGGAGGGTGAAGGGAACATCTTGGACAGCAGCAGGCCAGCCTCCTGCTGCTCTGCCTGAATCCTTGGTTGTCATTGGTTTGAATGTTTTTTTTTTCTATATCAAGAAGCTGTAGAAATTCAGCCTGCCTTAAGTGTAACATGCAAGCCCCATTATGAAGAACAGTCCCCACTTTTTCTATCTCAGCCCCGAAAAACATTCCAGGTGATAGACCTAGATATCAAATTGGCAAAAGTATTACTACTTCCATCGTTTTCCTGGTGATAAAAAGTTCCAGGCACTATTATAAGTCCTAGGGATACAGTGATGAACAAGACAGAATTCCTGCTCTTATGGACCATAAATCCTGGTGTGTGCATCTTCTAATAAACAAGAAATAAATGTTTATATGTCAGGTGATAATAAGGACAAAATGAATAATAAAACAGGATAAAGGGCATGGATAAGAAGTGCCAGGTGTATTTGTTAGGGTGGTAAGCAAAGCTCTTTCTGATAAGTTGGCATTTGAGCAGAAATAAGAAGTCAGGGAGCTGGGCATGGTGGCACATACCTCTAATTATAGCTACTTGAGAGACTGAGGCAGGAGGATCTCAAGTTCAAAGTCAGGATGGGCAACTTAGTAAGTCCCTGTCTCAAAATAAAAAAAAGGAATGGAGGTATAGCTCAGTGGTAGAGTGCTTGCCTAGCATCTGTGAGGCCCTTGATCCCCAGCACCACCAAAAGAAAGAAGTCAGAGAGCAAGCCATGCAGGTATCTGAAAAAGAATATTCCAGGCAAAGTACAGAAGCTAAGAAGCAAGTTAATGCTGGACATGAGGAATAACAAGGGGCCTGTGAGGGAACTGACTCAGGTTGAAGGAGTCTGTGTTGGGCCTTGTAGGTTACGGTAAGATATTGGCTTTTATTCTGATACATTGAGATGAGTAGTTTATCGGTTAACTTTTGCTGGGTGACAAACCACCCCAATATTTAGTGGCTCAAACAACACATTTATTATTTTTTGAAGATCCTCTAGGTTTGCTTTCATATTCTGGAGCAGGTTAATTCATCTGGAACTGAAGGGTCTCATTCTGCTGGACAGCTGGAATGGTTGGGACTTCTCTCCACATGGTCACTTACCCCAGCAGGAAGACAGCCTGAGTTTGTTCACATGGTGGCATTCCCTGCAGCAACATAGGACAAGCCACAATGAACAAGCACTTTTCAACTTTTGGCTTGCTTTGTATTTGTACTGTCCTTTTGGCTAAAGTAAGTCACACGTCCAAGCCCTGAGTTAGCATAGGAAGTGAGCATGTGGACACAGGGAGGCATGATGGCAGCCATTCTGCAAACAACCTATGTGGGTGGAGGGTTTTGTTCAGAACAATGATCTGATCTACTTTTTAAAAGAATCCCACTGGATGCCACATGGAGAATAGTTGACAGGAGCACAAAGGGAAACAAAGGGTCCAGTTAGGAGGTGAGTGTAACAATCCAGATGAGAGAGAATGGTAATTGGGACCAAAATATTACAACAGGGAGCAAGAAGCCATCAGAACTCTGGTGTACTAGCACACACCTGTGATACTAGCTACTCAGAAGGCTGAGGCAGGAGGATCACAGGTTTGAGGTCAGCCTCAGCAACTTAGCAAGACCCTATGTCAAAATAAAAACAGAAAGAACCAGGGGTAGCTTGGCATGGTGGCACATGCCTGTAATCCCAGCCACTCGAGAGGCTGAGACAGGAGGATCTCGAGTTAAAGGCCAGTGAGCAATTTAGCAGGGCCCTAAGCAACTCAGTGAGACCTGTCTGTAAATAAAGAAAGGGTGGGAGATATGGCTTAGTGGTTAAGAACCCTGGGCTCAATCCCCAGCACCAAAAAAGGAAAGAAAAGACCAGGGGTATAGCTTCAGTGGTAAAGTACCCTTGGGTTCCACCCCTAGTCTGAGAAGCCAACACCCCCCCCCCCCAAAAAAAAAAAAAGTATTCAGATTCTAAACATAAAAGATAGAACCACTGACTAACAAATGGGGCCAGGGAGAAAGGGAAGAGTCAAGGATGATACACCACGGTTAGTGGCTGACAAATTGGAAGAAAGGAGTTGTCATTATAGGAGGAACATTTGGGGAGGATGGTAGAAAATATAGGAGTTTACCTGAGATGTTCAATAGACACCTAAGAGAAGAATTAAGTTTCCAGGAACCAAGCCCTGCGGCATTCAAACTTTTAATAGTTGAGAAAATAAGGTAGAACAAGCAAATGCAACTGAGGGTGACCAGTAAAATAGAGGGGCAGGGGCTGGGAATATGGGAGCATTGTCCTGAAAGCCAAATGAAAACTGTTTTAAGGAGGCAATGATGGTTTCAAAAGCCATTGATGAGTAATACTAAGGCTGAACACTGATCATTTGAATTTGGCAAATGAGAGGTCATTGGTAAGTTTTTGAAAAGTCTTGGAAATGAGGGTGATTGAGAATGACAGGATGGGAAGAGAGGAATTGGAAACGATAGGTTTAGAGACAACTCTTCAGGAGTTGGATGCAAAAGAGAATAAAGAGGGGAACTGGGGTGTCACTCAGTGGTAGAGTGCTGGCCTAGCACGTGTGAGGCACTGGGTTCATCAGCACTGCATAAAAATAAAAGTATAAAAACAGGGAATAGGGACCAAGGAAAGTTTTAGTATATATATATATATTTTAGATGGAAAATATTTCAGGATTATACTGTTGGTAGAGGAATGGTCTAATAAAGAGAGAAAAGCAATGATATGAGAGAGGACACATGCTATGTGATATCTCAAGTTGTTAAGAGGGGAGGGGTATAAGCGTGGCTGGATCTCTTACAATTAAAAAGCCAGCAAAAACAGATTACATGTCAGACTGTGAGCATCCTGCATGAAGTATAGAATTGTAATTAATTATACAGCTTTTAACATAGAACAATGAATATTCATTCTGGAAAGGAATTTAGTGACCTCTAAGTGTGATCTTGTGCAAGTCACCCTCCTTTCACCGTTTATTTTCTCATCCATAAAATTGTCATAAACCATGTAACCTAACATGAAGTGCTTGCTTAGAAACTTGAAAGTCCAACAGATATCAGATAACAGACAGTCACAAGTGATGGTGGGCATGTGGCGAAATTGGAACCCTTAGATGGTGTTTCTGAAAAGTAGTTTGGTGGCTTCTCAAGTGGTTAAACATTAGAGTTGACAAGTGATCCAATACTTCTGTCCCATGTGTGTACTCGCAAAATGAAAACATATATCCACACACAAAAATGTAATCAAGTAGTCATAGAAGCATCATTCATAACAGATGACAAATGGAAACAATCCCATATATCTTTCAACTTACAATTAGAAGAACTATGGTATAGCCATGCAATGAAAGATTATTTGGCTATAAAAAGAAAGTGCTGCCAAAATTTAACTCAAAATGGATCAAGGACCTAGGAATTACACCAGAGACTCCGTGTCTAATAGAAGAAAAAGTAGTTCCTAATCTTCATCATATGGGATTAGGCCCCAACTTCCTTAATAAGACTCCTATAGCGCAAGAATTAAAACCAAGAATCAATAAATGAGATGGAATCAAACTAAAAAGTTTCTTCTCAGCAAAAGAAACAATCTGTGAGGTGAACAGAGAGCCTACATCCTGAGAGCAAATTTTTACCCCTCACATATCAGAGCACTAATCCCTAGGATATGTAAAGAACTCAAAAAGCTAAGCACCAAAAAAACAAATGACCCAATCAATAAACGGGTCAAGGACCTGAACAGACACTTCTCAGAAGAGGATATAAAATCAGTCAACAAATATATGAAAAAATGATCATCATTAGCAATCAGAGATGCAAATCAAAACTACTCTAAGATATTATCTCACTCCAGTCAGAATGGCAGCTATTATGAAGACAAACAACAATAAGTGTTGGTGAGGATGTAGCTGGTGGGACTACAGATTGGTACAGCCAATATGAAAGCAGTATGGAGATTCCTTGGAAATCTGGGAATGGAATAACCATTTGACCCAGCTATCCCTCTCCTTGGACTATACCCAAAGGACTTAAAAACAACATACTACAGGGACACAGCAGCACAATTCACAATAGCTAAACTGTGGAGCCAACCTAGATGCCCTTCAGTGGATGAATGGATTAAAAAATGTGGCATATATACACAATGGAATATTACTCAGCATTAAAAGAGAATAAAATCATGGCATTTGCAGGTAAATGGATGGCTTTGGAGAAAGTAATGTTAAGCGAAATTAGCCAATCCCAAAAAAACAAAAGCCGAATATTTTCTTTGATATAAGGAGGCTGGCTCATAATGGGGTAGGGAGGGGGAGCTTGGGAGGAATAGATGAATTCTAGATAGGGAAGAGGGGTGGGAGGATAAGGAGTGGGCAGGGGATTAGTAAGGGCGGTGGAAGTGATGGACATCATTATCCAAAGTACATGTATGAAGACTCAAATTGGGTGTCATCATACTTTATATAAAAACAGATACGAAAAATTTTGGTATATATGTGTAATAAGAATTATAATGCAAAAAATATATGTATAAAAGCATGAATTGGCGTGAACATACTGTATATACAAAGATATGAAAAATTGTACTCTATGTGTAATAAGAACTGTAATGCATTCTGCTGTTGTGTATTTTAAAAAAATAAAATCAATAAAACTAAAAAATAAAGAAAGTGCTGATGCATGCTACAACATGGGTGAACTCTGAAAGCATGCCAACTGAAGAAGATGGACACAAAAGACTACATATTCTATGTTTGTATTTACACAAAGTGTCAGAAAAGGCAAATTCATAGATTTTTGTGGTAGATGGGTGGTTCCCAGGGACTGAGGGGAGGGGCTATGGGGAGTGACTGCTAATGGGTATAATGTTTCTTTCGGGGGTGATGAAAAGATTCTGG